CGTCGCTGGGCGCACGTGAGTCTGGACTTCATCACAGATCTTCCCCTTACAGCGACGGGACATGATTCAATCCTTGTCCTGGTCGACTCCCTCAGTAAGATGGCTCATTTTGTTCCTGCAAAGAAGTCATTCACAGCAGCAGACACAGTGGAGCTCCTAGCCGACAGTCTTATCCGCTATCACGGTTTCCCAGAAGTGCTTATATCGGATCACGACCCCCGTTTCCAATCAGACCTTTGGAACCAGCTCTGTCGCCGCTTCAACATCAAACGGTGCATGTCCTCGTCCTACCATCCCCAAAGCGACGGCCAAACTGAACGGGTGAACCGCACACTGGAGCAGATGCTTCGTACATATATCAGATCTGACGAACGCGAGTGGGAGCGTTTGCTTCCAGCCTTGGAACTTGCCTACAACACAACAAGCCATTCATCCACTGAGCTCTCTCCTTTCGAGGTCATGATTGGAGAAAACCCATTGACTGCGGCGGAACTTGATATCGTAGGCGCGTTAGCTCCTACACTGACTCCTCCCATGACTAAGCTTTTTCGGCAGCTCTGCGACAGAGTGCAGAGTCACATCCTGAAGGCGAAATGGCAGCAGAAGTATTACGCAGACACAAAACGTCGAGCAGTGGAATACGCAGTGGGAGATACGGTCTGGCTCAGCAGCAAGCACCTACCGCCTTTCAACAGCTGCCCTAAGCTTGAGCCCCGCTACCGCGGACCCTTCGAAGTCCTCGAACGCATAGGAACTGTTGCTTACCGTCTCGCTCTGCCTCCCACTTATGAATGCCATGATGTTTTCCACGTTTCTCAGCTAGTTCCCCACCGCCCCCGCCCTCCCGCTTTGGTTCCCTCGGCAGCCGACGCTGCCTGGCCTCCTATCCACGATGCAGCAGGCAATCCCACAGGTGAATACGAAGTCGACTATATTATGGACCAACGCGGCTCGGGAGATGCAGCCCAGTACCTCGTGAAGTGGCGCGGGACCCCTGAAGAGCAAGCCACATGGGAACCAGCTAACCATCTTACCGGCTGCCCGGCTTTGCTTCGCGCTTGGCGCCGCCGCCAACGAAGACGTCTTCAGGCTCGAAACAACATTGGCCCTTCCGAAGCGTAGCGGTATGGCTCCTTCATATTCCACCTCCTCCAGCTCGGGCACCCTTCAATGAGGAGGGGGTGAGAGAGCGCTGCGCATGGCGCGCGCTCACGGCGTTAGCTTTCGACGAACACAGAGATTGAAAAGGCAAAAATAATGCATTTTGCGGTAGGTCACTTCAGTCCGGCAAGGGGGGAAGTTGTAGTGCACAGGCACTACAATGGGGCTGGCTAGGG